CATAACAGCCTATAAATATAGATATTCATATGCACACATATATGCACAACTACACACACACACGCACACACACACGCATATATATATATATATATATATATATATATATATATATATATATATATATATATATCTTGTGTGTGTGTGTGTGTGTGTGTGTGCGTTGTGTGTCGTGCTGTGTGTGTGTGTGTGTGTGTGTTGTGTGTGTGGTTGTTGTGTGTGTGTGTGTGTGTGGTGTGTGTGTGGTGGTGGGTGTGTGTGTGTGTGTGTGGTGTGTGTGTGTTGTGGGTGTGTGTGTGTGTGTGTGTGTGTGTGTGTGGGTGTGTGTGTGTGTGGTGTGTGTGTGTGGGTGTGTGTGTGGTTGTGTGGTGTGTGTGTGTGTGTGGTGTGTGTGTGGTGTGTGTGGTGTGTGTGTGGTGTGGGTGTGTGGTGTGTGTGTGTGTGTGTGTGTGTTGTGTGTGTGTGTGTGTGTGTGTGTGTGTGTGTGGTGTGTGTGGTGTGGGTGTGTGTGTGTGTGGTGTGTGTGTGTGTGTGTGTGTGTGTGTGGTGTGTGTGTGTGTGTGTGGTGTGGTGTGTGTTTGTGTGGTGTGTGTGTGTGTGTGTGTGTGTGTGTGTGGTGTGGGTGTGTGTGTGGGTGTGTGTGTGTGTGTGTGTGGTGTGTTGTTGTGTGGTGTGTGTGTGTGGTGTGTGTGTGGTGTTGTGTTACAAAGCCGGGCGTCTCAACTCAGTGTCATAATCGCGTGTAACTCTGAGAGCACTCAGGTCAGGTCACTGCCAACCGTGCCGGCGGCAGCGGCGCTCACCGCTCTGGCGTCGCCGTCATCAGGCCTGCAGCCGGTCATCGGCAGGCCCGCCGCCGGTGACCGTCGGCAGGCCCGCTGCAGCCGTCGGCAGGCCCGCTGCAGCCATCGGCAGGCCCGCAGCCGGCCGTCGGCAGGCCCGCAGCCGGCCCGTCACCCGTGCCGTCCCGGGTGCCGTCCGGAGTGGTGTCCGTCGCCGAGGCTGGTCTGAACTGTGTCACTGGCTCACACCCGCTAGCAGCTGGCTGTGCTCTCTAGAGGACGGCGCAGCTGGCTGTGCTCTCGGGAGTACGGCACAGCTGGCTGTGCTCCGAGAGTACGGCTGTGTTCTCAAGAGGACGGCGTAGCCGGCTGTGTTCTCGGGAGTACTGCGCAGCTGGCTGTGTTCTAGATAGGACGGCACAGCTGGCTGTGTTCTCGAAGCATGGTGCATTTGGCTGTGCTCCTGAGCGTACGGCGCAGGGTCTCGGGCGTGCTGACGCGGGTGACGTGCGCCGTGTTACTGTCACATGTTATTCGAGCGTAGTACAGTTGCCCTGGTGACGCCGCGAGACCCAGCCCCGGACACTGCCCGCCGCATCCGAAGCATTGATCAATGATCAGGCCGGCCGCCCGGCCGCCTGACGAAGGGCGGCGATGCTGCACAAACGCCGGGTCACCAAACTGACGCCCGTCCCGCATACCACGCGGCTCCCGCCCTATCACCGGGTCCGGGAGAATCAGTCGCGCTGAATCGCAGGGCGGCGCGACGGCGGCGGGGAGAGGGCGGAGCGTCGCGCGTGCGACAGAGAGTGAGAGTGGGAGGGAGTGAGAAGCCGGCCACGGCGGTCACGGGAGTACGAGTCAAGGTCGTTGGGCACCGCGTCAGAGAGAGTCCATCTCCGTCACACGGCCTCCGGCCAGTGATGAAGGACCGGGGTGGGGCGCCGAGGTGGGGGCCTGCTCCAGTCCGCTCCAGTGCATTATCCTCCATACGCAGAGTTCAGGGTCATGACCTCTCACACCAGCGCGGGGCGGTAAACTGCCTGATCCCGAAATACATCCAGGAATCGTGGGTGGGAGGTCCCCCGGCAGTGGAGAGAATGTGGTCGTTTCGCTGCGAGGGGTGACGACGTCAGAGCGATTCACGAGTGCTGGCAGGCGCGGCCATTGCTGTCTGCCTATCGCTGCGAGTTTGATGGCACGAATATGCTCTGCGTGCTTTATGTGTAATGACCGCCAACAACACCGGTTGGAATGCAACTGACGGACCCGAAGCCCTTCACTTAACGTCTGACTTGATCCTTACTCGACGACAGGTCGCAGATGTCCAGGGGCCTTTTGCAACTGTCCTTGTTTGGATTTTTTTTGGAACTCATATTAAGAAAGGTAGTGTCGAAACTGCTAACATCAGCAACTTATTATGCTGTTTGCGTCGCTGCCCGATGTAAGCTGGCAAATAGGGCATACTTTCACATGATCCGTTTCCCTAATTGGTGACATTTACAACCAAAGGCAGAAGTAGGCTTGGTTCCCTGATGATCAGCTCGATGCTTGAGCACAGTTTTGAAGTTTGCAGACAGCTTCATGCCATATCCTCTCTCAGGTCGCAATGCATTGTCGGCTGCACGTGGTCTGCCGTCTTTTCCGCGCAGTGTGTTCTCGTATAGCTGTAAGCTTACAAGCCGTAACCAGGGACGTCGGGAGTAAAGGGGTGCCTTATTTTTTGTAAAGGCTTGACGTGAACGGTATGACGATGCACGCAAATAAACCAGACGAAAGTTATGTGCGCAGTCACCCACATTGGGTAAAAAAACATGTCATGTTTGACACTGCTAGCTTTTGAAGGCTTTGCCGATGGCGAACATTTTTTTTTTAAACGATGCACTTGGTTTTCATATGAAGGAAGCCAAAATACATGCAATTCTTTTCGTCACGACAGTAGTTCAATGTGCGCGAAAGAGCAGGATAATGCTTGCTTCCATGACACATACCAAAGGACATTTCTTTTCTGGGCATGTCGTGAAAGCACGGTAATAGACGGTAACTCTCGCTTCTTCGGGTGCCGGCTTTCAAAGAAGAAATGCCTCACCGAACGTGTACATGAGGTCGACATGACTGCAGCCTCTGGCGCCTCAACAATCAAACCCGCCGACGCCAGCACCCCAACCGCGAACAGCGTCCCCGCCCACCGGGCTGCACGGTCTCGCTCGCCGGCCGGCGCCCCAACCGCGAACAGCGTCCCCGCCCACCGGGCTGCGCCGTCTCGTGCGCCGGCCGGCGCCCCAACCGCGAACAGCGTCCCGCCCACCGAGCTGCGCGGTCTCGTGCGCCGGCCCGACACCCAGACACGTACGACTGCCTCGTGTACACCGCTGACGCCCACTCTCAAGGCTGTATGCGCCCAACTACTCTCCGCAGCCGACCAGCCCAGTACGCACATCGGTATGGTGCACAATTAGAATGCTGGCGTGACGTAAAAGGTAGCGGAATGATGGGATGGGAGGACTCACGCGTACCAGGCGAGTGACTGCGAACCATGGCTTGGCCCACACGACCGGGCCGCCGATCGCCGCCACCGGAATAATAACCTAAGCCGCCATTACCAAGGACCGCGTTCTGATCGCTGCTCCCGCAGCCGCTGAGGTGCACGACAGAGCAGATTGCAAACAAAATATGTCGGGATGGTGCTCGAAGCCCAAAAGTAGACGCAGCCTCGTCACAGTCCGGTAATCTTACCTGTTCACCTGACTCGCCTCAACAATGTCGTTACCGCTGGTATTCAATGACACCAGTCTGACGCAGGTTCACGGTAGCTGTTTAATGCGTCATCTGCTTGACCCTAGCTATTGCAAGAGAGATTGTAATAAAAAGCCCCATGACCCGCAGAAGTTGAGAAAAACATCCCTAGAACATCCCCATCCCCCATCCCAAAAACATGCACCTAACATCTCCTTAAGAGGAATAAGCGGTATTTACATACATAGTTATCGACGCAATGCCATATGCTGCAGTCAGACATGTTTTACACCATTTGCACTTGTAGTCTTTTGGAGGAGTCTTTGGTGAATGACCTCTTGATTTAATTTAGTATTATGTGACCCACTTCACCGTCAAAGGGCCAAACGCATGTGCCCGGTCATTTCACGCCATCCCACTTCTACACGCGGGACCCGCCACCAGCGGAGATGGTGTGCCATATTCATGCCGATAATCTCTTTCATCTGGCGCGTAATCACGCCGCGCTCGGTAGGACTGTGCCCGCTCACGCTATAATAAACAGCGGACGCTGCGCAAATGTCGTCGCTCTCGATGGCGCGTCCATGACTGCGGCCATATCACGAACGCACGGAACGGCAGATGCTCGCTGGTTCCCTGTCTGCAGGCACGCAGTCATGGTTTTTCGTCAAAGGCGAGGAGCAGCGGCTGCCGGGGGACCCCACAATCTGAGGAGCCCTACGGCTTTGCTTGAGGCGTCCCATGATGTTGCTGTTGGGGTCCGATATTTGCCTTTTATCAGAATTATCTACACGCTTTTGCGTAAGAGGTCCCATTTTACAACAGCAAGGGCTTCTTGCCTGACCCTTAGTCTTTAGGCGATTCTGGAAGTCTCGTGGAAGCTTATTTATTAGCGTGGCATTGAAATCTCTCAATAAAGTTTAGTTTTCATCACATTTTACTCAAAGAGCAGTTCGGACACCAGAAAGGTCTCTTGAACCATTTGAAGGACGACTCATAGCTCCAACCCTTCTAGGTTCGCAATTCCTTTTCACTCGCTGCAGTGTCCTCCATCGTAAAAACTTAGGCGTTGCAGCCTTATGGTGTAAAACATGCCTGTAACATGTGATATTGCGTTCATACCATGCATATAAACACTACGTATTCCTGTTAAGGAGATACTAACTGTAGTCAGAGCGGATGTTTTCCTCAACTTTTGTTGGTGAAGGGACTTTATATTTCAAACCCTCTTGCAACCCTTGTAACCTCGCATCTTCTCACCGGTTTGCGGGATGTTGTGATGGAGCGTCTGTACTTTCTGACCATTGAAGTCTGGAGCGCCGGGCAGCAAATCAAGCGCGATGCTTTATGTACAGACGGTCTTTTTGGTTACCAAACCGCGTGTGAGGCAGCAACTTGCTCTGAGCAATCCTCAGTTTTTTAATGACGGCCCGTAATGAAGAAGCATAAATGTAGACTAGTGTTAGGCATTTCACGATTCTATCACTTCATTGCCTCTGCATGCCAGACGAGCGTGAAGCCAGTGGCTTAGGGTGTCGTAAAAATATGCACTTACTCATTCGCCGGTTTATTATGGCTTATATGATTAATACAATACACTTATCCCACATATTGGTCGTCAAAAAGTTTTATGCGTTCTGTTGGACCAGTCTGTTTCTTCGCACGCTGCCTGATTTGACGAGAATCTTACTGCAGCATGCCACGGGCTGTGGCTGTGTCTAGGACCGCTAGCCATAGCTCGGGTAGTCCCGGACACTCGAGCTACCGCTGCTGCCTCCTCCTCCTCGTCCTCCTCCGCTGTAACCTCCTCCGCTTCCTCCTCCGCTGTAGCCTCCTCCTCCTCCTCTTCCCCCACCGCTGAAGGCTCCTCCACTTCCTCCTCCGCTGTAGCCTCCTCCGCTTCCTCCCGTGAAGCGTCCTCCTCCTCCTCCTCCCCCACCGCTGAAGCCTCCTCCGCCGCCTCCTCCGCTGAAACCTCCTCCTCCTCCCCCACAGTAACCGGACACGGTCTGAGTCACCACCACCTGCTGCGTCTGCACGCGCTGCACAAAGCGCGTGTTGAGCACCTGACGCGGGTTGTTGACGGTCACCACGCGCGTGGTGTAGGTGTCAGGCAGGCGCTGCGTGCTCGTCACCACCACCGCCTGGGTGCGCACCAGCGTCTGCGGCTGAGACGGCACGCGCACCGTCTGCACGCGCTCCTGGTAGTCGGTCTGCACCACCTGCTGCGTACGTGTCACCACTTGGGTGTTAAAGTTGGTGCGGAGGACGGTGCGCACGCGCACGGATGGCACCCGCACCACCCGCGTGGTGACTTCGGTGCGCGTGACCGTGTTGGCGACCGTGCGCGTGACGGTGACCAGCTGGGGCACCAGCTGAGTGCGCACCACCAGCGAGGTGACGGGCACCACCTGCACGCTGGTGATGGTCACGAACTGGTCCGGCTGGCGCACCTGCTGCGTCACCACCTGGGTCTGTCGACACCACAGGGGCATGTGAGGTCAGGTTACCAGGGTCTTTCGGCGCACAGGGGCATGTGAGGTCGGACCACCTGGGTCTGCCGACACACAGGTGCATGTGAGGTCAGGTCACCAGGGTCTGACCTGTCGGCACACCGGGCATGTGAGGTCGGAGCTCAGGCTTTGGGGGTGGGGTAAGTGAGAGCCGGTGTAGCCGCTGGTGTGACGGTGCCCTGAATACTGCGCTCTGTGTACGGCAATGCAGGATCTGTATGCAGTGGACGTGGTGGGACCGATTTGGGGTCATCAGTCGGTCGCCAAAGACAAGCATCCCACCCTTACATTCAACATCGTCACTGACACCTCAGATTTTGGACTGGAAGAACTCTGAAGCCTGCGTATTACTTGAATTGCAACTGCAATAATGAGGCCCTCGTGCTGCATGCTTCACCATCCCTGTCAACACTGCTGACGATTGCAATGTTCATGACCAACGGCAATTCAATAACCTGCATCGAAAAACATTACAACAATTATCACTACCACTTTGAGCATTTAACCACCTACTGCGCTGGGAAACAAAACATTGACATGTCCGTCTCAGGGCAGTTTTTGCCCTCAGCTCGGGAGAGCAGCAGGCCAATCGGCGATCGCGTGGTGCTCTTAGCATGCCAACGGTCGTGGCGCTTTTTGCCGAGAAGTCGTTGCGTTACACCAATTGGCGAGCTCAGCCTCGGTCCGCCCCACCACACGAAACCTCGGGCACCTTTCTCATCGTGCGCGCGTCTGAGGCGTGATGCAAGCCGACACGCGTCCCCACGCGCCGCAGCCGCCGTTCTGCCGCCTCCTCGCTTTTCCCACCGGGGCTCACCTGCACGTTGGTCTGCGTTTGCACGATCGTGCGCGGCTGCTGCACCACGAAGCTGGTGACCTCACGGTTGTTGAAGGCGGTGCGCACGCGCGTCTGAGCCGGCCCAGGCACCTGCACCACGCTGGTGCTGAGCACCAGCTGCGGCACCCGCACCGTGCTCTGCACCACCTGCGTCGAGGTCACCGTCCGGAAGTCGGTGCGCAGCCGGCGGCGCGTCACCAGCACCGTCTGCGTGCGGAACTGCGTCTGCACCTGCGTCCGGAAGCGGGTCTGCGTCACGGTGTTGACGACGTCGGGCAGGCGAACCGTCGACACGACCTCCTGCGTGCTGAACTGCGTTTGCGTGCGCGTGTTGAACACGGTCTGCGTGACGACGTTGGTCTGCACGACGGTGCGCGTGACGAAGTCCGGCACGACGGTGGTGCGCGTGACGAACTGGGTCTGACGCACCGGCACGTCCACGGTGCTCACCACCTCCTGTACTTGGGTTTGCAGGCGCGGCAACGTCACCACCTGGTCCTGGGGACAGCCGCCGCCGCCGCCGCCGCCGCCGCCGCCGCCACCACCACCCGCCACCGCTGCCACCGCCCGAGATGACCTGACCAACGCTCGAGACGACCTGACCACCGCCCGAGATGACCTGGCCACCACCCGAGATGCCCTGGCCCCCATCGGAAATGAACTGACCCCCACCAGAAATGACCTGACCACCGCCAGAGATGACCTGACCGCCACCGGAAATGACCTGACCACCGCCCGAGATGAACTGACCACCGCCCGAGAGACCCGAGTCGCCTACAAAAGAGCTGGACCCTCCAGTGCTGGAAATTCCAGAGCTAGAGAATCCAGTGCTGGACAATCCAGAGCTGGAAAATCCGCTGTTGGACAATCCGGAACCGGAGACCACTGACCCCCCGGAGCCGGTCGATCCAGCGCCCACCGAGTACGAGCCGCCGGACAGCCCACTATTGGACAGCACCGTTCCAGACAGGGCCCCCGATCCCGCTACCCCGGAGCCGGACAATCCAGTGCCCACCGAGTACGAGCCGCCGGACAGCCCACTGCTGGACAGCGCCGTTCCGGACAGGGCCCCCGAGCCCGTCGCCCCGGAGCCTCCAGCGTACGATGCGCCCGACTGGCCGGTGGAGAAGACGGAGCCGAACCCTTGGGTGTTGCTGGCGCCGCTGTTCGCGCGTGAGAACAGGCTGAGGCCGCCCGCGTTGGCCGCGCTCTGCGTGTTATAGCTGGGGTAGTCCTGCGGCCAGGGACGCACGGCCGCCAGCAGACACGGCAGCAGCGCGATGGCCCTCATCCTGCGGAGGGAACGCGGGTCACGCGGCGGTCACGGGCCGCGGGCACACGCTGAGGCGGACGCGGGCCGTGCGCCCACTGACAGACGCCATTGGGAGACACTTGGCTGGGAGGAAGGCTGCTATGATCCACGGTGATGGCGCAGTAGCCCAGCCACGTGACTGGTGTATGGTTTCCATATTTGCGATGGGTACCTGAGGCCACCGTGAGGCCGTTCAGTGGAAACATATCGATTTGTCGACGCGTCACGCATGAGCCAATACAAGACGGCGTGATGTATATTTTGAAAAGTATCACTGCAATAACACAAAAGGCATGAACACCTACATATTACTCACCGTTATGGCTGTCTCCAACAGATGTGCTTTTCTCAGGATCCCACATAGATTATTTGAACTTAAGATTGGTAATCTGCAGGCCTCACAGCGGAACTTCTATGCCATTCTTAAATGAGCTGATGCGTCATAAATAACGCAGCTGAAAGTTGCAATGAAAACGGAATTTCACTTCCCCAAAGGATGACATTTCTTAGACCATGGACACGCAAGCGTACTCCTGTTTAGACCCTGGTTGTTCTCACAGGGGGCGGCGGGCACCTGGCCCTAATAACCGTTGTGCTTACCGGATGTTTTGTACTTTGACCGTGAGCTATGCCAATGCATCAAAGCCATGTAAAAAACTATGTAAAATGGCACCGAATCATATTGAGCCCCATAGCTTTAAAAGCCCCCCCAAAACCGAATGCTCCCATTCAGTGTGTGATTACGCTTCTTTACCCATACAGCAATGCTAAACGTTCAGGTGTATTCTCTCCGAGTATATCTATACGAGCGAATAGTACAAACAGCGTTCTCATCACCTTTGCCGCTGTCTCGGCGGCCGACGACTTAAGTAAGATCATGAAGTTCAATGTTTCGATGGGCTCATTGTCTCAGCACGACCGGTTGATACCATTTTCTGCTCAGTCACCAGCTTGCACGTTCTGCATCTGGAACGCTTTGCCTTTCAAAGCGACTGGTCCGAATATACGGTTTGCGTATGGTTCTGCCGAGTTCTTTTGCTTTGATCTATCGCCCCCCTCTAGTAGCTGTGTGATTTGCCAATGCCAGGCCCACTAATCCGAATGAAGCCTCCTCCTCCGCTGTATCCACCCCCTCTCCCACCGTGTGCTCCTCTTCCTCCGCTGTATCCACCACCACGACCACCACCACTTCCTCCTCCTCCTCCTCCGCTGTATCCTCCTCCTCCTCCTCCTCCACCTCCTCTGATGAACCCTCCTCCTCCTCTGATGAATCCTCCTATTCCTCCCCTCCTCCTCCTCCTCCGACTCCGCGTCCGCCGCTGCCGCCGCCGCCGCCGCCGCCGTTCTGGCACGTTTGCGTGACGCGCACGGTCCTCCGCACCACCTGAGGCACCACGCGCGTCTGCACCACCTCCCGGCTCACCACCTGGTCCACGACCTGCGTGCGCACCACGGGCACGGCACGGCCAGGCACGGTGACGACGCGCACGTCGGTGCGGAAGACGGTGCTGTAGACGGGCTGCGCCGGCTGCTGCACGGTCACCAGGCGCGTGTTGTACTCCACCTGGCGCCGCGTCGCCTGCACGGTCTGCGTGCGCACCACCTGCGAGTTGACGACGCGCGTGGAGACGACGTCACGCGGTACCACCTGCTGCTGCGTGAACGTGCGGAAGAGCGTGCGCTCGAACTGGCGCGTGGCCGTGGCCTGCACCGTTTGCACGCGCGGCACCTGCACCACCGACTGCACGGGGATCACCTGGGTGGAGGCGACCACGCGCGTGGAGGTGCGCACAGCGCCCGGCACCGCCACCTGGCTGGTGATGACGCGCACGTCCTGCACCAGCCGCGTGGACACCACCGGCGGCGACTGCTGCGTCACCAGGCGTGTGCTGATCCGCTGCTGCGTCTGCGTTACCGTTACCACCGGCCCGGGCACCGTCTGCACCCGGCTGACCACCTGCACCTGCGGCACGTTCACGGATGCCACCTGCACGCTGGTGCGGAAGGCCGTGCGCAGCAGCGTGGTCGGCTGCACCAGCGTCGTCTCCACTGTGCGCACCTGCTGCTGGATGCGCGTGCTCACCACCACCTGCTCGGCCGTGCGCGTCAGCTGGCGAACGCCGCCGGGCACAGTGCGCGTGCGCGTCACCTGGCGCGCCACCACGGACGTGCGCACCACGTCGCGCGGCAGCAGCGCCGTGCTCTGCAGCAGGGACGTGCGCACCACCTCGGAGGCCACGCCGCCGGCTGGAGACAACCGTCTCGGTGACGAACTGCGGCACCTGGCGCGTCACCTGGCGGAAGCGCGTGTCGGTGACGTAGCCCGTGCTGTACTGGGTGATGGTGCGCACGGGCGCACACTGCACGCCGCCACCGCTGCCCGTGGAGTCGACGTTGGGAGGGAGGTACACCTGCTGCGCCGCCACGCCGGCCAGCAGCGCTCCGACCACGAGCACCAGCCTCATCCTGGAAGAGAGGTTTACAGGGTGTGAGAGGTGATTGGACTGAACCGGGAGCACCGCCGGCGCCGACTCCGAGCGACACCAGTCGAGGGGGGCGAGGCAAGTCCAATCACCCTGCACACGGCCGTGTAAACACCTCTCTTCACGGGATGAAAGCTGCGCGCCGCGCACGCTCGTGGGCCGGGTGTGGCAGACTGGACTTGAACCGCCCCGCTCAACGCAGCGGCCGACTCCATAAAGACCTCCTTTTCGCGTGTCAGTTGATGCCTGGGAGTCAGCTAGTACCCATCTCAAATAGATCACAAGCCGTCCCCGGCTTTTCTACTGAGACTGCTTTCCACTTTCGAAACTCAAGTGTGTCATTCCAGCGATGACCAGCATGTAGAGATGGTGGTAGTGGTCATATTCCCAGTGCTCTTTTCTGACGTACTCCAATCGCATGGTTCCGTCGGAAGACAAGACAGCAGTTACGTAAAGGCCATCATTCACTCGGTCAAATCGATCACCGACACAAAAAGAGGACCGACTGCCTCCGCACCAGCATAAAAAGGGACCATCGTGACAGCTGCCGACGAGCCAGCTGTCAGCCAGCTGTCAAAGAAGCCCATGACCCCGCGATGGCCAATGGAAAGGAGGCGTTCTACCGACGACGTTCCTCTGATTCCAGAACTTGTTTTGCCATGACTGCTTGCATTGACAAGAGCTATGCTTGGCCGGCCCGAGGAGCGCTTGACCCATTGAACTTTGATCAAATTAATGTCAATGAAGTTTTGAAGTCTTCAGTCGTTGAATTTGAGATCAAAGTGAGCCACTGACCATGACTGGGCGATGTCAAAGCAAAAGCAGATGACGTGGCAGACAACAGGCATCGTCATGTCTTATTTAGGAGAGCTACGATCAAAGCATAGCGCAAATAACTGATAACGGTTTCAAGCAATGTATAGAAGCAGAGTTCCGTGTACGCTGCATTTGTGAAGTAGCCACGCCAGACAGACCACGAGGCTTGATAATGTCTTCGGCGCGATTGTCCGTCAGAAGACAGACGGCTTAAACAACGGAACAGTCGGATTACTGCTCCCAAAGTAGGTAAATCTCACGCACGATCCTGGAGCTCATGCAGCGATTACACGTCGCAGAATGTGAAGCAACGCTTCCTGCGGCTGCGTTCCGCGTGTGCGGCAGGTGCCGTGGGGACGGCTGCCTCTCGCCACGGCGCGGGGCGTGCGGCGGGCAGACGGCGGGGCACGCCGCACCCATTAGCGGCGAGCGGCGCGCCGTTTCGCTCACCAGACGCGCCGGCAAGAAGCTAACACGCGAAGTGCATGCTAATGCAGTGAGGCGTTGCGTCATCACAAAACAGCGGTTTGGAGCTGCTTTCCTTACCATGTCGGGGGCCATTGGATAAGCTTTGCCACCTGCTGTATCAGCTGCGCTCAGCCCCCTGTAGAGCCATGCAATCGCCGAACCTCCCCACGATCGGTAATCAGTCGCCATTCAGATTGCAGCAGAGCCAGGCCGGTGCGAGGCTCTGAGAGCGCGGCAATGACGTGTGTTGTATGCAGCGTGTTTGAAAGGCGGAATTGATGCAATTCTTCTTGGTTAAGCTACGATCTGTCCATGTGCGCATCGTCTACACAACCACGAATGAAATTCATCTGCTTCGTAGGTGGCAAAGGCGTAACACTATGCTTACGTCTGTCAAAAGATAAAAGCGAGACTTTTGTCTTTTGCACGCAAACCAAACCAGCGATATATTTGCATAAACCTGAGATGGTGCGCGCTGGACGGAAACAAAATGCACATATTTCCGGCGCACTGCAACACCCTTTCCTAAATTGAGACACAGGCATTGTTCGCAGTCCTTAAACGTTGCCATCTTGCCAGCACAATGTCCGTGAGCCGAGAGACATAATCTGTCCGGCAGCCGGACGCGTCGGCCGACGCGGCGTCCACGTGTGACAAGGTCACCCTGCAGGGCCGACGACGCCAGACACAATGGAGGTCCTGCCGGGGTGCCAGGCCGCGCCGGCATCCAATGCTAGCCACGCACCGACTGCCGAAGGCAGCGCGCCTCTCTCCCCCCGACGCCTCGACCTCCGTGCTCGGGGTCACGTGCTGGTCCAGGGGAACCTCCGCCGCTGAAGTCTGACCCACTGACGGCAACGGCGAGGGTGGAGTCTGACCCACTGACGGCCACGGCGAGAGTGGAGTCTGACCCACTGACGGCCACGGCGGCCTCGCTGCAACGCATGACCTTCGCGCATGCGCGGGAATCCGTTGCGGATCGGGAGAACAATGTTGAATCGTTCGCAGGGTCGGTGATTACGTAGCGGAGGTTGGCTAAATTGGATGTGTGCTGCGCGGTCAGGGCACACGCATTCGGGGGCGGTCCCGTGACGTGACGGTGTCGGTGCCGTGGCGGAGGCGGTGGAGACAGCCATCGCACGTGGGATGAAAAGAAGCTCGACTCAAGATAATTGGGGGTTTCAAATACTGGTCAGGATCCCTTACACTTCTAAACAGCCAGGAAGATTGCGAGACAGCTCGAGAGGAATTAGCTGGCTCCATCTGGCAACCTGGAACTGTGTTACCTTTGACACAGGACACTGCGATGTGTGAGTCATCTGGAATAAGTCGGTACCAGGGGCTAGGGCATCTTTGACACACCACTGTCTGGTCACTCCGGTGCCATTACGCCAGCTGTTCGTCGTCAACAGATGACCAGACGGGCTGGCGTAACGTCTCTGACAAAGGCCTTCACACGCTCCACTGCCCCCGACCCCAATGAGCAGGAATCTCCGACGTTAACGCCGTGACAGACAGCCTTGGCAGGGTGTGGACAAAAACTTCGCGCCTCCTGCCGCTGAGGTCTTGTCCACCACTTTCACTGACCCTACCCTTGGCTTGCGGCGATAAAGCGCACACGATATGCAGCAGCGGTCATCACTGTCCACGCGCTGCGTGGCACCCCTCATTGGTAGCCGGGCGGCAGGCTCCAGCCGTGCATGACCATCAGACGCTGCTGCGGCGGTCAGGAGACCACCGACCACACCACCAGCCCTGCCCAGCCTTCATGGTCGTGGCTTTGAACGCAGGTGGCTTCACCGCCGCTGGCAGGTCACCACGAACTGGAGACAGCCGGGCCGCCCTCGGTTCGATTTGGATGACTCTCGCAAACCTTGTCGAACCTTCATGTGAAGGTGAAGTCTGCATGATCCGAGTGTCCACAGCCAGCAGATTTCCCGCTGCAGCAAATTTTTTATGCATTCGTATTCGTGCCGAACACGTTTGGGAACGTTACGCGTTAGTGGCCACGTCGTCTGCCCGGCGAGATGTCTGGTCATAGCCTGTGAGACACCTCGTGCGGCGTGAGACGAATAACGCGATGACAGACGTGAGAGTGGTCAGCTGTTCTTACGTGGGGCGCACCAAAAGCTGATGTAGCGAGAAACTTCCGGATGCCGATAACAACACTATTCGTCAATGTATTGGAAAATAAACCATGCATGAAAATTCAACAAGTGAAGGTCAATGAAATGGTTAGACTTGTCTGCAACGGGATCGTGTAATTAGGAATCCATGCGTATTTTCCGGACATGGCCGGCCATTCAAGAAATATTTTGGCTGTACTTTTTGAACGGATAGATTTCTGAGATCAGAGGTCACGCTAAGCAGTGCTTGCTGCGTGAGTCCTGCTACTACCTGCTAAATACCATCCGATCACGCAATTCCAGGTCAATGGCGGGATCTGGTGGCGAAAGTTTAACGTGATACAGTGCTCGGCATGGTCCGTCCTGCCCTCTGACGTCACCTGACCGCTAGCGCGGCCGCTGCCACCGGCCGCACACCATTCCTGTGAATGGTAAATAGCGAGCGCCTCAGGCGACTTCAAGCCACCTCACCACGGATGGGTGGATGGAAAGGCAGGCGCTTAAACAACTGAGCATTCGGGACGGAACGAGCGGTGGAGACGGTCAGTCAGCCTGAGGCAGTGGCAGGGAAGTGCATCATCAATATAGTCGTCATTTCGGGGTTAAATCGGTCCGATTATTGATGGTCCAGGGCCGAACTGTGCGCAGTTTATTCCTAGTTCACCGACTCCATTGTGAGTAGAGGTTACTATTCTAATGACGAGCGATTCTACTGATCCATTTAACGCTGTCTGGGATTCCAGGAGGTCCTATGGTGCAAAATTTGTTTCTAAGCCCAGTAATGTCGCCGTTAAAGCTGACAGACTGCGTGTCTGGCAAGACTTGGAAGCTTTGATTGATCGCATCGACGAGATTGCAATGATTTTCAGTTTTGGCAGCTGTGGCCAAAACACTGTAAACTACTGGAATGCTCTGGCGGGATAGTCATCATAAACAGGGCTGCACATCTGTTTGTTGCTCATGACCCAGGCGTTACTATTAAGGCCACAGCATCTCGTTTCGAGATCGCTCTCGCAAAACGTGGCGCAGTCTGCTTTGCCATCGATTGCTGGCAACATATAGATTGGCCAGAATTGAGATTCGTTGCCATATTCGCCTTCACTGTGCAGCTGCACATGACAAGTCAAGTGTCGTACGTCGCTTTAGCTAGACCTGGTGAATGTCGATGCGCATACTGATGTACAGAGATGAGTGTGCCAGCATGTGCTGCGGCTTGCTGGGCCCTGCCAGCGGTACGAGCAGACACTACAGTCGAATGTGCACGCAGCCTGATAATCTGGGCCATCGCCAACCCTCAACCTGTACTGCCGTTTTCCACAATACGTTATGATGAGCGGTTTTGGTTCTCTCTGGGCTATGGAAGATATGTGATAGGAAATCAGGAATGCATCTGAATGTTGCCGATGACTTTTGACGCCTCAAAACAAAAGGCATCAATTTATTGTAAGCATTCCTCACTTAACTAGACGTCATTTTCCCTCAACCGTGATACACGACTTTCCAAACCAACTCCCTCGATAAGAACAGAGTACAAGTATGAATCCTGCAC